TCTTGAGTATCTCCCCCCCCCAATCTGCATCTACATACAAACACAAGTTTGCCCTTTCCAAATCACCCTTTTTGTATATCAATTTTAAATTTAAGGTGTTTTTCAAGTACCTAAGAATTCTTTTTAGAGCACACCAGGCAACATCAGTAGGATGCTCCTGCAGTTGGCTCAAGCAATTTACTGCAAAAACAATATCTGGCCTTGTGATTGTGATATATGCTAAGTAAAGTAAAGATCCAATTAATTCTTTGTATGGGCCATGAAATGCATTTCCTTTCTGAAAATCAGCTGCTGTAGATTTTGGTTGAATGGGAGTTTGGGCTGTTTTACAATCAGACATTTTAAATTTATCAAGTAATTTTTCAATATATGGTTTCTGATCTAAATATAAACAACCAGATTCAAATTTCAGTCTAATACCCAAAAATTCCGAGACACTTTCAGATTTTGACATTTTAAATTCATTTGATAACAATGATATAATATTTGTTTCTTTTACATCTGAACCTGCAATTAATAAGTCATCTACATAAAGAGCCATAATTACTTTCTTACAATTTAAATTTCTGATAAAATACATGGTTCAGAGTTCCAATTGCTTAAAATCTAATTTAATAACAAAATTAAGAAATTTCTGATACCATTGTCGAGGAGACTGTTTAAGACCATATAAACTCTTTTTAAGTTTACATTTCTTACCACTCATATCATCATATCCTTTTGGCTGGTCCATGTAGATGATTTCATCTAACTTACCGTTCAAGAAAGCTGTCTTGACATCTAAAGTAAAAGTTTGCAGAACCTTCATTATTGATAATTACCAGGATTAAACGTAAAGAGCACATACTAATCACTGGAGAAAAACGTTTTCTGTATAATCTATGCCTTCCTTTTGCATAAAGCCACGAGCAACAAGCCTCGGCTTTGTAAGTTCCATCTCGTTTTTACGTAGAACCCATTTGCAGGAAATGGCTCTTTTATCAGGGGGTAAACTTTGTAAGTCCCAGACGTCGTTATCTTCCATAGATTTCATTTCCTCGTCCATAGCTCTTTTCCATGGTTCTTGTTCTACTTGTGGTAGATTTGCAATATCTTCAAATGTCAGAGTGTCTTGTGCAAACATTACTTGGTAAATCTCAGGATCAGGATACCTAACTGGCTGTTTCTTTTCTCTTGAAGATTTTCTTTGTTCCTCCTTCTTATTTGCATCATTTAATTCGCCGTTATCAGTGTCTGAAATTGATTTGTCTTCATTTTTAATGTCATCATTGTCATTTTCACTCAAATCAGAACTATCGGGAAATATTTTTGATTTTCTACTTTCTTCTTTTCTTCATTAAATTTAACATTTCTGGAAAACAATGATGCGTCTTGTTTCTGGAATCATTAAACGATATCCCATTGTGGAATAACCTACAAATATCATTCTGACAGAATTTTCATCTAGTTTCTTTCTTTGCGATGGTGGCACTAGAGTATAAGCATCACAGCCAAATACACGAATGTTTGTTAAATCAGGATTTTCACCATACTTCAGAAAATAAGGAAGACAATTATCAATTGAACTATTTGGGAGTCGATTATTTATGTAAGCAGCCGTAAGTACTGCTTCACCCCAAAGAAATTTTGGTAATTTTGCCTCAAGTATCATTGCTCTAGCTTTTTCCAGTACAGTTCTATTTGCTCGTTCAGCAACACCATTTAGAAAAGGTGTATAGGGAGGTGCAGGATCTATTTTTACACCTGCTCTTTTAGCAACTTCATGCAATTCTCCACTGACATATTCTTTGGCATTGTCACAGCGCAGTTTTGCAACAGTTGGATTCAATTTAAAGAATAGCTTGAGTTCATCAGCAATGTCACTTTTTCTTTTGAGCAGTCTGATTTCCATAAATCTCGAATAGTCATCAATTATAGTCATGAAATACCTTTCCCCATGGAGTGTTTGAGGTTCTATTGGACCACATATATCAGTGTGTATAGTTATAAGCGGTTTGGATTCTTTTATGCGAGGACCCTTTCCTATAGGCAAAGCACTTTGTTTGGCACGAACACATACTTCACAAAAGGATTCTTTTGCAGGAAGATTCATCAGTTTTAATTTTTGATCACAGCAGTGTCCTAACCTTCTGTGCCATAAATCATCATTCTTTACTGCTAAAGCTGTAAATAAATTTGGTGAAAAATCACTAAAATATTGTCCGCATTTATCCAAGTATCCAAATCTAAAACGCTTGTTTTTGTTTTCAATATAAACTATTTCATTTTTAAAAATTACGCTCAAACCTGCTGCTTCAATATTTTTAACAGAAATTAATTGTCCGTTTAATTTTGGAACGTAAAGAACATCTTTTAACATTATTTCAACACCATTCTTAGTTTTACCGCAAATATCACCAATTCCTTCCACTTCTAAAACCGCCGACTTAGACGCGCACTTAACAGTTCCAGTCTTAGGCTTAATTGAGGTGAAACCATTCCTTGTGAGAAGACATATGAGAAGTTGCACCAGAATCAATAATAAATTGATCATGCACAAGATTTCCAGCCATAAAAGATATTGCAGGGGAAGCATACTTATTACTATTTGAATTTGCCTGCTTTTTAGAATTATCAAAACATTCACTTTTTGAAATGACCACTTTTCCCACAGTTATGACAGACGCAGTTCTTTTTCCTACAAAATTTAACAGAATGTCCTTTTCTTTTACAATAAGTACAAAACAATTCTTTACGAGCACTAATAAAAACAGAGTTATCTGTATTTGGTTTAGAATACTTATTTTCATTTTTATAATCAAACATAAGAGATTCACAATCAATAAGTCTACTTGTAACAAAATCTAAACTCAAATTATTGCTTGGCTGATTCTCTAGAGATGCCTTAATATTTTCATATTCTTTTGGCAAAGACATTAAAATGTAAATAATAATATCAAAATCGCTTACTTCAGAGCCAGAGACGCGTAGAAACTACTCACCAGGTTCATTATGCTGTCTCATTGACACATCCTTGGATTTCCTTATGGTAGCTAGACGTTTACGCGTTAAAATTTGACTCACTGCACCTTTAGCGCTATACGTAGCTTGTAGTTTCTTCCATATTTTACATGCAGTGTCTTCACGTTGAAGAGAAGCAATAACATTGTCACTTAGAAGGGCAAGTATTAAGGCATAAGCCTTTTTTGATTTCAAAACATCTGCAACTCTGTCCGCAACTGCTTCTGTTTCCAAAAACGTATCCAATTCCCTTGCCGTAAATACTGCTCGAACTCTTCGACACCAAACAGTAAAGTTATTAACACCGTCAAATGGCGCTACACCAAAAGCTTCCCTTTCACCTCCGGAAAAAGCCATCATTCACAATATACCAAATCAAAATCACGCGAACGATAAATTATTACACTGAAGGTTCAATTAGGGAACTATCAGCGAATTCTAACTTTTGAAGGAACCACGCTCTGCTGTTAAACATAGAAAATGCCGTGGTTCGCAAAACAAATATTTATTACTGAGATATGCAGAGTAATACGCAGAGTTACATGCAAGCAGAATAATACTAAGTACAAGCAATAGCACAGATAAATAAGTACAGGCAGAATAATACTAAGCAAGCAGAATAATACTAAGCAGCGATAAGCGGTTACAGAGGTCATATATATAACTTCATAACAGATCATGGTTTAACAAATCATAAACAAGACACAATAAAGAACCAATCAAAAGAAACATACAGAATGGGATTAAGTTTCAGAATAACTCGGACCTGGCTGAAAGCTAATGAATGTTTCGGACTTGACAGAAAGCTATACTTCCTTTTAACCAGTAAGAATGCAATTACAAATATCTCAACAATAATAAATGACAAATAGACAAGAACAATGAAGTTACTAGAAGAGTTTTCCACTTCATTCCAAAAGCTGATAGAGATCTCAAAAGTGCCATCCCAGAGCTCACACAATTCTTCACTAGGCATGGACATTTTTGAATTGCCTTAATTGGTTTGATTTCATGGAAAGTGATCTTTGTATATGTGGCAAGATTGGCACCTTGAACACTGTGTTTGATTACCTATTTACCTTTTACCATCTATGGAAGACAACAGATGAGTCAAGAGTTATGACAACATGAGCAGCTAACACCTCCAAAAAGAGACACACAGTATCCTACTTTAAGGACACAACTTCCCATGCTCTTACTGTTTATGGAGAATTGTGATAATTTGTGATAGTCAATCAGATCTGTGATAATCAATACCACCAGCCACACTGTAACGTTTTGTAATTAGTATAGCACCATGTAACACTTTCAGCTGTATCAAGTCACTGCTTATATCCATGTATATACAGTAATATACTGTTACATTAAGTTAACATACATTGTTAATTTAATGCAGTAAATTTTCCTTGTTTGTTATGAAATGCTTACACATTTATACTGATTCATCTTTACATCTGTACCATTGTGCTTTCACTCCTTATTCCAGTCCTTCTGACATTCCTGACTTTACATAGTCAAATCACAAGGGATATTGCAATAAGCTCGTTTTATTTTTCTTTAATTACAATGGTGGGATCCAACAGAACCAGTGGACCAGCTATTCTGCTGACACCAAAATATTTTATATATATATCACTGGATTTTTCAGGCTGAACAAGAATATCCCTCTCTGATCAAAGTATTTCCAGGTGAAGTTTGTATCTTTCATCAAGACATGAGTAAGCATTTCTGGTTTGTATAAGAAAAACGGTATGAGCAGTACTCAGTTCATGCAATATACAGAAACTGTTACACATACGATAATAAATATCAAGAGATCTAAATGAGCTCTCATGTTTTGTCAAGAGAGTTAGTTCTTTAGACAAGAAGCAAACCAGAATAACAGTGGGGGAGTGGTTTTAATATTTTGGTTGGTCAATATATTTCAACAATAACAGTTAGTTATATCACTAGGCTTTAATATTCAAACCATATAAACATTAAGCATGAAAGATACAAACCGATATGGAGCTGGAGCATGGTCAGATTCTTTGATTGTGTAATTTAGCATTCCTTTTGCATATTTTGTACACCAAATCTGAAAAATAGAAAGCTATATTAGTTTAAAAAACACTAAATTAATTAATTTAAATTTAAAAAATACTTAGCGTTTTAAACAAACCATATCCACATAAACTTGATGGGTAACATCAAGAAAAGTAAACTTGATAATAAACAACTAGAAGTATTCCATTTAATGGAATCCAAAAAAGAAATGATGAATAAAAAATATATTTAATTAAGAATAAGTTTAAAAAATTTTGTGCTTATGCTTTTAGCATCTGAATAGCTGCCCAGGTCATATTCAATTCTGATCAGTTAAATTTTGCTGCAAGAAGTACAGTTAATGTTTCTCCAAAGTGGCCTACCCTGTTACTGTTGCTAATCCTCATGCTGAGCACATGGCCACCAAAACAATCTTATGAATGCTAACATGTGGGACAAGTGAACACCTGTCACTTGCCAAGACCTTACACATGTTCCTTTTGACTAGCCAATCTCAGTCTTAATAAAGAACAGCTAAGGGGATAGATTGTGGGGGTTTCATGCCTCCTCTTTCCCTACAGGGAACTTCCAAATTAACAGATTTCACATAGCTCCAAACCAGAAAAATCCTATGCATCCATGTTCTCTGGGGTTTCAACCTACCCTCAACAATATGACGACCAGTTTCACAACCATATGGACTAGGTGGTGGCTTTACAATACCAAATAAAAAATGCAGGACTATCACCTCTTAAATTGGATTTCAGAGTAGCTAAAATAACGACAATGTTGAAATCAAAGCTACAATCCAGATGATCTCTAAATTTAAAACTGATAATGTTAAAAGATGAGAATTATACTCTAATACACTTCAAATGAGGAATATCATCGGCATAACCACAACCATTCTTTATGAGCAACTTATAGCAGCAGATACATCAACATAAGCAGTACCTGTTAAATTTGAAAAACATCTTTCATGTGTGAAACATTTGCTCGTGCTTCTTGTAAGGTCATGATTACAGACCTCATAGCTTATAAAGTGCAAGTTTTGTTTTTTTCAGCTGCCCTTGTACCAGATTACCAATCCAAAACTGCATTAAGAATTTCTGGTGTGTGCCTTTATGCTCTTGGTTTTGACTAAGTCCCAATTTGCTTGAGTAATTAATTACCCTGGGAAAAAATTACTTTCAGATTTTGAGGGTATTAACTGATAAATTAATCATTAGACAACAAATTTGCATGTGCCCTTTTTAACATCCATTCTGTTTTATTATTTTTTAAATCTATAATTAAAATTATACTTATCCAAGCACTTTTCTCTGCAGTAAGTATCCAATAGAGAGAAATGATGTTATTTTCAAAAAGATTTTCTACACATCCTAAATAAAAGATAATAATAAGATAATCACCAGAGACCAGTTTTTTCTTCTGATTTGTTTACTCAGATATTTTGTGCCACCTTTTCACATATTCATTTAAATTATCATTGATTCTCTGAATATTGAACATTCCATCAATACTAATTCAGAAGTCAAACAACAAAAATCAGCGTTATACCTACAAAATTTTCACAGGACTAGTTTCGATGGTTTTACCGAACCATCATCTTCAGCTGCAAAACCGCAAACAGCAACCGCAATTGATTTGCGGTTTGCAGCTGAAGATGATGTTCGGTAAAACCATCGAAACTAGTCCTGTGAAAATTTTGTAGGTATAACGCTGATTTTTGTGTTGACTTTGAATAGTATTTATTCGGCGTGTTATTGTGTCTTAATTCCATCAATAGATTTCACAAGTTCTAGGCATAATTAAAAATCAATATTATGAAAGCTATTTTTAAGGACATAATATGATGGAAGATTTTTATTCAATAACTGCATTCCATGCTGCATTAGAGAGTGCCACAAAAATACATTTGCAAATTTTGCCCAACGCATTTTGTATATTTTATCTTTATCCAGGACAGGAAAAATTAATTTCCCATTTTGAGAATGGAAATTTCTCACAACACGCAATTCATCCGCATGGACACTATCAAAACATTAATCAAAATTGCAGAACTACGCGTGCATATAAATACCAGCCAAACAGGTTTTTCCCTCTCTTTGCTGACTACGTCTCAAATGAGTATGAGGGGCTGCGGATCTTGCATATCTCACCCTCATGGAATGATGTCTTTTTTTGATGGAGAAGAAGGAGCGAAGCAACATGAGAATTGCACAAATTATCCTGAAAGATTATATTGAAAATTAATCCAGCTATGAAATAATTATGCTAAAATTTAACCCATCTTGAAATAACTTGTTAATGTGTGTCTCGCATCAAGAAATTGCTGCTATTGTCATTGGCTTGTCTCCTCATGGTCATTACTTTGTGCTGACCAGAAAAATGTGTGTAAAAAAGGATAATCTAAGCGTATAGAAAGCAACATCTGCAATGTGTATAGATAATGTGGAAATAATTTCAGTACGAAAAGTGAGCGATGAAATAAAATATAAATTTTGCTTTCGATCTTCACTAGATGGCGCCGTTCTTATATTCTTGTGTTTTTTGTGCGCTATGTTATTAATTTGATATATTAAATCAAGATAATGTTTAAGTAATTGAATAAAGTGATATTGAGAAAAGGAATGTGTCTCCGCAAGTCTCATGGATATGTTTTGTGAGTAAGCGAAATAATTTTATTATTCTCTATTTTAGGGTTACAACACAATGTACGACATATCTTTTTTTAAGCCAGTAAATATTGGGCACATGTAACTTTGATTTGATACTTGCAAGTGTCTAGTTAGATAGTGATTTACACACAACACCACAGCCATAAATGCATTTAAAAATTAAGATGATCCTTTGCTTGCCAATGTCCAGAATTCTGCATTATTCCAAAAGATTATTTATGAGATTTTAATGGTTTTGAAGCACTTCAGATTTCTTGATTTAGCAATCACTACAACTGGAAGATTTCTGAACATACCACACTAACACATAGAAGCTCTATTATTCGCTGCTTTTCTTAGCAAAATGTTAGCAAAATTTCACTGAAGATATTCAAAGTATATACAAATACTTTTCGAACTTGTAAAATTAAGTGATCCTGTAAGCAATATTGATATTACAGATTTGATTCTGTATGCAATAAGTGTAAACATTGAAATTGCACATATTTGCTTATTGGTCTTCTTTTGGGAGCAAACCTGGATTATCATTTGGAAAGATATTTGAATGATACCCGATATAATCATGATTGTTTAAATTCTTCTTTCAAGTTTTTACACTGATAATTTAGTAACAAGTTTAAATTATACATGTGATATAGTAACCTTCACTGAGATGTCTCAAGTCAAACTGAGTGAAAGAGAATTCAATTTCAGAGGTTGGCAATAAACCAATGATAATGATCTTCAACCATTTACTTCTGTTTTAGGATTTTTGTGGGATAGAAAAAAGATATGCTGATGATAAATCTGGACTGGTTAGACAGCTATAAATTTGAACAATACCCAAATTATTGTTGCAAAAGATGTGAAAAGAAAAATACCTTGGGAATCTGAAATTGATGCTGATACAAAAGCTAAAATATGAGCTGGTTTTCAGAACTTTATTTGCTCAAAGAAATGAACATACCAGAGTGTTTTTCGATTGGTCCAAGCAGATATAAATATTTATCTGCATATGTTTTGTGATGCTAGTCGTTCGGCTTTCATAGTAGCCGTTAACATTCATGCTGAAACCTCTGAAAGTGTCAATCTTCATCTCCTAATGGCCAAAGCTAGAGTGATTTTTGTAAAACCCATGACTATTGGTAAACCCATGACTGAGAAAAGAAATGTGTCTCCGATGACTGACGAGCTGATGACTGCTATGGTGGGAACTCGACTGTGCATATCTGTTGTAGGATTGCTTTAATGAAAAGATGTTAAACAACATTATTGCACCAATTCCACGGCTGTTTTAAGGTGGATTCAGTGTAGAGAATCTGGATGGTATTTGTGAACAGAGTGAATAAAATAAATAGTTTAAAGGATCCTCTTTCATGGAAACACCTCTTGCATTAAAATTTCATATGGATTGGCTTATCTTTTGGACATGTTATCACTATTTTTGAGATTTTTCCTTAATTTTTGGAAACCAGTGTATTATGAAAGATAAGAGTTTCATGTAGGAAAAAGGTTCATTGCAGCATATTACTGTGCATAGTTGCGGATACTGAGAAGGAATGCATAAAAATGACGACCTGATGAGGGATGGGGAATTAATTTTGAAAGACACTGGTAGAAAACTGAGACAAATCTCCTAACCAAGTTCAACCTCACACCAAAAGTAAAATTCTCATATTTAAAACTCTTCTCCAAATTGAAAGATCCCAGCATGCCTGCACAGCAAAAGAGTTTTCTTCAGCAGTTACTCAAGGCATCCAAGGACTGAATAAAAGTAGTATCCTACAAGGAATAGAACTATAGTGAATAAAAGGATCACACAGAAAAAATGTAAGCAGAAACTGAATGAAATAAAATGAACATGAAAGAAAAAAATATTAGAGAACATCAGTTTTTAAATTAAGTTCGTATTTGTACATTTCGTGCTATTCTGAAGACTGTTGCCTGCTCCAAAAGTAATTGTAAGAAGAAGTAAGAATTGGGTGGAAGAGTAATTGAAGAAAATGAGGCTATTTGCAATTTTATTTGTTACTCTGATGATAAGCCTGAAGTAGAGAAGTAGACAGTTATTTGAAATTGATTAAATTATGACATACATAATATATGAAATGAAATTAGTGGTTACTAAAGGAATGTTTCACTGCACAATTTCTATTTCAAAAAAATAACTACTTATCGAAAACAAAGAGGCCATTTATCGAAAACACATTAAAGAAGGCAAAGTGGCTAGTGGACTGCAGTTAAGGTGTCAGAGAGCCACAGTTTGGCCATGCTTGTTGTGTGTATATTTATATATATGCACAGTAATATTTTTATTGAAACTTCTTATAACATGAATGCCAACCTTAAAATGTATCCAAAACAATGAAGGACATTTATTAAACGAAAATGAATTTATATATATAAAATAGCAGTGGAATTTTGGAATTAAGATCAAGAAAATACTTTTTTCATTGCGCTTTTGCAAACTTAGGATTTTTCGGAGCCAAATCTTAAAATAATTAGAGGGTTTAAAAAAAAAAAAATAAGTCGGATGTCACAGTTATTCTTTTTTCTCAACTGAATATGTGTATAGTAAATAATTATAATGATTTTGTAAATAAAATTTAGTATATCATTATGTGAATACAATTAAAATTTTGGCTATGATACTGAAAATTTTAGCATGAAATATAGAACACAAAATATTTAATTGCAATATCAGATTAGAATACTTTAAATATACATAGAGATAGATATGATTAAAAAATATTCTTTAACATGCTATACATTCAGTGGCATACAAAAGAAAATTAAGTTACTAATAGTTGTAGTTAACAAAATTATTTCACACAGTAAGGCCACACCTTGTAGCTCAATGGTTAAGACAACTAAATATTGGTAACTCGATCCAGGTTCAAACCCAGGCAAAAAGAAAGCGGACTGTATGGCATGATTTTCTCAATGTGTAATGAGATTATGAACCAGTTGCTCTAAAAAATACTCTACAAAGGCAACTTTACTCTTAGGCAGGTAGCCTTTATGTGCCTTGTCATATCCAAATAACTTAATCTATTCATATAGTTAAAAAATATGTTTATTAAACAATATTACTGAAAATTCTGATGCATTTTTATACACATTCTGACACTTAAGTTAAATAAACTACTGAAATAAAATACATACTCAAAAAGAAAGCAAAAAAATTAAGTTATTCTAGCAATAACAAATATCCTCATACTGAATCGAGCATACAGACTAAGAAAATCTATATACAGCAATATCACAATTTAAACTTAGTTACTATGCAGCTGTGGTTTTAAACTTATGCATCTTTATTCTGCATGGTTATGTCACACAATATAAATTTAGGTATAAGCATGTATATGCCAGCTACACTACTTATAGTATTGACAGAAAAGTTTAATACTATAACCTGTTACAAGTTAGAATTGACAGCTGGCTAGCAGACTTTTCAGTGAAGAAAGTTTTAAACTTATTTATTTATTTAACCGAGATTTCAACACATATTTTCTTTAATCAAGGACTTTGCCTTCATTTAAATAACATTTACTAGGTAATGGAAGTAATGTCCTACTGATAAATCACAAAATTTTATTTATACCATGTATTGCCTTAACTTAGTCATTGAGTGGATTTAGAGGTAAAGACAAATGCCATTGTCAGTTTTCATATTACAATAGTCATAATTCTTTATCCTGTTTAAGGATTATATACTTAATCTGATCTACAACTTTACGAGTTGGTTGGTTGGAATTTAAAATAAAACACTTTATAGCTATCTGCCTAACGAGAGGGATAGATTTAAGAAGGAGTTACTAAAAGAAACTGGCTTGTATTCAGCTTAGACATGAGAGGAACCACACACATACTCATGCACACTGTCCGTTTGCTAAAATTCAAATTTGGGTTAAACTTGACAGTCTTATCCACAGGGTCATTAGAGTTGTAATTTTAAGAGATTTCAGTTTTAAAAGCTTTGATATATTTTCCACTTTTTTACTTAAATTTTAATTTAATATACTTCATATTCAAGATGTATATCATTTTTGAAACAAATAAAACTATTAGTCCTTAGTCTATAATAAAGTTCACATACTTGTCATGGCAAGTGGGTTTTTTTTGGGGGGGAGGGGGAGTTTAGATTTCAATGACCTAATTTGCTAAGTTTATTTTTTAAAAAAAAAGTCAGTGCAAATGACTACTGACATAAGAGGCATATTTTGAATAACTGGTATATACAATGAGTGCTCTTTCTGGTCTAATTTTTCAGCAGATGTAGTGCAGAAAAATTTTCATATTGTTTTCATACTGAAATGCATAATATACAACTGATAAAGATCCACAATATGAAGCTACAGAGAGAATTTGCATCCACTAAGTATATGTGGCATGACAAAGTTTTAACTTACAAAGTCCAATCTTTTTTTTTTTTTTCTTGTAATCAGAAATGTTCTTGGTTAATCTTTGGATTATGGTAACTTGGCGATGGCGAAAATTTGGCGACCAACCCTGCTACAGAAACCTGCTAGTTTTTGTTTGGACGCCATTTTGTTTTCACAAAGTAAAGGCATTTTTTTTAATTCAACATTTTTTTCAAACAATCTGCTAGCCGAATTACGCTTATGCTAGAACTTTTATGGAACAAAAGTGCTTAATCGTGACAAAGATTAGGTGTGAAATTGGGAGAAAGTGCAGAATCGCACACTGCTTGCCACGTTTTTAAGAATTGCACATACACGGTATCATTCATGTACACGTCGACCTATTTTCACTTAAAAACCATCCCAGAATTGCACAAAAATGGCATTGCGGACACTCTTGACTTTATCCATATACACTGCTAAAGTCCTAGCTAGTAACCTTTATCGTCTTACCAAAATGTCGCCAAACTACCTGTTACTATATTCCAAAGATTAGCCATTTTCTTAATGAAGGCTAAAATATTTTCCTAAATATAAGTAGCGTGACAAAGTTTTTTTAACTTTCAAAGTGCAGTTTATTTTTAAATTACAAATTTTCTTAATGAAGGCTGAAAGAATTTTCGGTACTACAGCAAAAGTCTTTAATCCGGACTCGTTGGGACTTCGGCGATTCCGGATTATTGGTTTTTCCAGATTATAGATCATTAGCTTAAATCTGGTCAGATGGCATGCAGAAATTATAAAATTAAAAATATGAAACTGTAATTTATGAAATAAAGAGCAATTATGATCTAAAGGGTACCAAAATTTACAAAAAAAATGGGCTTTATATTTATTTGTTTACTTTATTAAACATTTCTTTCAACGCGCGCATGTGTAAAGCATACATTACGCGTAGTCGAAATTAGAAAATTGCAACCAGAAAACTATTTGATGTGCATTCGTGATATTTATAATGACGAGGAATTTGATTTAAATCATATCAAAGATGGAGTACTACATTTAGTAAGGAATTATAAGCCAAATAAAATAAAAACATCTGCCCTGAAGATAAGGATAGTGCTGACAGATCAACTTCCAGTTCATTGCATGCCGCGGCGTTACCCCCTCCACACGCACAGCAGCGTGAAATTGATAAACATATTTCGGAATGATTAGAGAATCAAAGGATACGCTTTTATCCATTTTTTGCAGCAATTCCACTTTTTGTTTGATGGACATTGGAACATGCTTTCGCTTTGTAGATCCTTTGGTAGCTCCAGAATCGGAAATTCTTTTTGACATAATCGAAAGTTCAAGCTTGCTTTTATAAAATTGCTCTAACAGTCTGCAAAAAATAATAAGCCGGATCCAATTAGAAGATTAAGGAACAACGCAATCTGCAACATTAACTGAAATAGATAATTAGATAATTTTAGCTTAGCTTATACCGTCCGTTATACATTAAACATGCATGTGAAAATGTATTATGCGCATGCACAGACGCATATGTGCATGCGTAAAGGTATTATGCACATGCATTAACGCATTATGCGTTGATGAATGCGCAGAAAGTTTGTAGCTTTGAGATCTGGATTATGGGCGTCTGGATTAAAGACTTTTGACTGTATTCGGTTTTGAGGGCCGTAAAAAATCGCCAAACTATTGTTGATGCCAGTGCTGCCAAAAGTAATTGTGGCAACCCTAATGCAAGAAAGGAAGTATAATAGTAAATAATTATTTAAGATTGATGATTTAGATGAAAATTTAATTTCATATAATACTTTTTTATTATTATAATTTATATAAAAAAGGCTAAACATGACTGAGTGGAAGCATAAGAGTAAATAACTATTTCAGATCATTTTTACAATTCATATAAAAATTGCTAAACATAACTGAATGGATGCCTGCATCGCTATTTCGCTAGAGTTATCGCTAAAGCATAATCTCATCTTGTTGGTTGTTCAAACATAATTTTTTCATAATGAATGATGCCTTTTCTATGAAAAAATTCTTGGTAAAGTGCAGACTCGGCCACTTATTCGTTTGCCACTTTTTACAAGGGTAAAAAAACAATTGGATTTTTGCCAATTTTCTTTTACTTTTTAAGTGAAAGTAGGTCGATGTGTACATAGATAAAGGGTGCGCACAGTGACATTTTTGTGCAATCCTGGGATTTTTTTTAAGTGAAAATAGGTTGATGTGTACATAGACACCGAGTGTGTGCAATTCTTAAAAACGTCTCAAGCAGTGGGTGATTCTGCACTTTACTCAAAATTCTATTGCAGACTTTTCGTCACGGGCAATTCCCAAATTGTTAAATCCATAGGATATCAAAAAAGGATTTAAAAATTAAACTAGTATTTCAATGGCGTCTAACGAAATATAGAACTATAGAAACTTATATAAACTTACACAATCTGAAATCAGTGCATACACTAGATTTGGCACGCTGTTAAATGGGTGCACTCGCTAGATTTGGCGCTTTTGTGCATACATTTTCGCTGCAATTTTTTTACGGTTCTCAAAATGGAATAGTACCGAATTTTCTAAACATAAATTTAAAAAAAAAAAATTAACTAAAAACAAACTAAAAAATTTAAGTTTCACTCATATTACAACATATAATTTTCCCTAAAATAACGTTTTTTATTTAAAATGTTTTATATATTTTTGTAAATTTTCTTATTTTAGTAGTGATATGCTTATATACATAATAATGATATTTCAGAGGCTAATAGCTGAACAGTTATTTTTATAGTTATTTATAGTGATATGTTTATATAACAAAAAATTTTTATTTAGCACTAAAATAATAATAATAAACATTAAATTTTTAGAATACTCACTGATCCATATGACAAGAAAAACAACTGTTCAGTTGAGAAATTTTCTAATCCAGGAAGTTTTTCAGTTGGAAGTTGGTTCTTTTTCCATGCTGAAAATGCCTGAAAAACAGAAATATCTCGTAACAGAATTGAAAATGAGAATTAACTTACGACATAATTGTGGAAATATTTTAAAAAAGGCTATTTCTGGCCAATTAAATCGAATCCTTTTTAATGACATGAAGCACGAAAGTAAAAGGCTCACTGATATGATTACTAAAATGTTGGATTATTCAACCATGTACCAACATTACTTTTAACGAAATCAAGTACTTATTATCTTTCCAAAAGCCCTAAGAATATTCTCTAAAATTAATACCAATCTAAAGAAAATGAAGATTCTTTAATTTTAAGCACCTACAACATATTAAATATAATTAAGACACAAACACACGCCAAATAAGTACCAATTCACAAGTCAAACAACAAAAATCAGCGTTAATTTTCAAAATTTTCACAGGACTAGTTTCGATGGTTTTACCGAACCACCATCCTCAGCTGCAAAACCGCAAATGAACAAGATAGGAAATAATGATTAGATAAGATAAGAAAGCCTGGACAAGAATAAGCAAGTGGCGCCATCTGTTGGTGAAACCAAAACTAAAACATAATTTCTTTAAAGGCCAAAGGCAAAGAGGATTGGAATTAGGATCGTTAACAAGAACAGAAAGATTTTTTTGAATGTGAAATGCCGCTAGAAAATCCAGTTCTCCAATGGAAGATGTTTTTTGAATAATTTTGGCAGCAGAAAATTGAAGTGTGATTTTCGGACCAACAATGTTGAGCAACAGAAAACTTCCGTGTTTCCGTTTTTCTAACATATGCCTCATGTTCCTTGACACGAAATTTTAAGGCTCTCTTAGTTTGGCAAATGTAAATTAAACCACACTGGCGAGGAATCCTATAAATACCCCAAGCATTCATATCCGGAATGGGGGTCCTTGAGTATGGAACTCGGAATTTTATTGATGGGAGAATAAACAACCCGAAAGTTAAATTTCTGCAAAATATTTCTGAGTTCCATACTCAAGGACCCCATTCCGGATATGAATTCTTGGGGTATTTATAGGATTCCTTGCCAGTGTGGTTTAATTTACATTGGCCAAACTAAGAGAGCCTTAAAATTTCGCATCAAGGAACATGAGGCATATGTTAGAAAAAAGGAAAAACAGAGTTTTCTGTTGCTCAACATTGTTAGTCCGAGAATCACACTTTCAATTTTTCTGCTGCCAAAATTATTCAAAAAACATCTTCCATTGGAGAACTGGATTTTCTAGAGGCATTTCACATTAAAAAAAAATCTTTCTGTTTTGTTAACGATCCTTTCAAATCCATCTTTGCCTTTGGCTTTAAAGAAATTATGTTTTAGTTCTGGTTTCACCAACAGATGGCGCCACTTGCTATTCTTGTCCAGGCTTCTTATCTTATCTAATCATTATTTCCTATCTTGTTCATTTGCGGTTTTGCAGCTGAGGATGGTGTTTCGGTAAAACCATCGAAACTAGTCCTGTGAAAATTTTGAAAATTAATGCTGATTTTGGTTGTTTGACTTGTGAATATTAAATATATTTTTCTCATACCCCTGAACTTTCTTTTTGGTTGATTTAAAAATGATAAGTCTAATAAAAAAAAGTTAACATATACAAAAGCCAAAGTGTTAGATCATTAAATGGACATTAATTTTAATTTCAAAATATTGCATTAAAATACATTTACTCACTGATTTCTAGTCACATTATTTCTAGAAGGCCAAAGTTGAGTTGAAGCAAAAGTTCATAATAAAGCAAACATTCAATCCCAATAAAAATGTTTTTTCAAATAAATGCACAACTACAGATAGCATGAAAATTGATATTGGTAAAAATTTACGGCACCCCTTGGCGAATCATTTCTTTTTTGACGTCAAGATCGGCGCCAGGAAGGATCACCACCAATTTCAAGATGGCCGCTACACAAAAACCAAAATAAGAAGTCAAGGACTTACACAAACTCAGCGTCCATGTGCACATTGACCTATTTTAACTTGAAAAAAAAAAAAAAGAAAAAGAAAGAGAATTGCACAAACTAGGCATTGCACACTGCCTGAACTTTGTCCATGTACATATCGATCTATTTTCACTTCAACGAATTTTTTCTAGTTACTTTCTAGTCACTTCAATTTTTTCTAGTTACCATGAAGTTAAAAATATCATGGTAACTAGAAAAATTTAGCCGCTGTCTTAATACGCAGAGACGAACAAGTAACCAAAAATACATATTTCCTAACATAAAAACATTCAACAAAAATTAACACACAAATTAATAAATAAATGAAATGACAATATTTTTTAACATACCTTTTTTCACATGCATGTGTTTAGGCTTCCCACCACCATCTCCTCCATCCTCCAAGTAAGCAATTAAATTAAATGTTTTGTCTTTTCATTCCGCTTATTCATATCAATCAGCAATTAAATCAGCTTTCATGCAAAAATCAAACATCTTTCTTCCATCATCTAACCCATAAAAAAAACCTCAAATTCACAATTTCATCAACCAAACACAGCAATTGAAAAGAATGGCAAGAACCAAACACCCGGTTTAAAGTTAATATTCAAGTAATCATTTTGGACATTGCTGTTGTCTAATATCGAGAATTTTCTAGCAATGCATGTTAGAAAACACAGTATATATTAGTAAACAACTAATACGATGATGCACAAACTATTTCAAAATGTCCGGAAATACTTAAGCATTTTAAGATAAATGCTGTACATCACTTAAAAAAATTCATCTTATTATTTAGCTTATTAATGCTTAGCATTTTCACAGCTGCTAATTAAAATGGTGCATTTTTGGGGGGGGGCATTAAACAAAAGCAAATAATAGTTGTTTGAAATCAACTTTGGAATAGTGAATTTTACCAAGAAATGGCAAAATCGCAAGTGTCAGAGTACATCGTATCAACTCATTGTTAATAAGTTGATTTATTACTATTCAGTTAATAAACATTGTTTACCCCAGCTCATATAGCAAAATAAAAAATTATATTAAACAAAACATACAGTACTTGACAAAATGCAGTAGAAGCAGAGTTACATAAGTGAAATGCTCCTCTCGGTTATATCTTATAATATCTTATAAGCATAAAAAATATATAATGTCTGCTTTACTTTCGGTGGGAGATAAAAACAATCACATTCTAGTCACAACCACAAATACTGCTGTGCAGATGATCAGAAATTGCATCATAGTGGAATAATCTGATAGAATTTCAGAAGAAGCACGACCAGCCTGATAGTTACACATCATTTATTTTTGGATGGCAAATTTTTAACACAAATCTTTATAACTGGTAGAAAATTAGCGGTGCTAAACGTGCCCCACGCTGTCAGCAGACAGGCGAAAACAGAGAGACTACACATTTAGTAGCTATTTATACTAGATTAGGTGCATAAGTACAGCTAATCTGTGATAGGTTAACTTTGGGTTTTAGTTCCACTTTTCAACCCAATGTTTATGCAACATGGAAAGATATCAAATTTGGGAGAACAGATCAATTTAGAGGGGAGAACACCTTAATTTAGAATAGTTAATTTTGAAGTTGCCAATCATTTTAGTGAAGTCATCATATTTTGTTATATGTTGCATACATATATATATATAAATACACAGGGTGTCGCATAAGGGTAGAGTAGACTTTAAGGTACCCCTTGTATTATGGCGAAGTTGTTGTTTGATTTATCGCCAAGTTGTTGTTTCATTTATGGTAGCCTGAGTAGTTGAATGTTATGAAAACCCTATTGTGACGTAATCAGGTGCATGATTCTGGGAAATTTTGAATCATGGCATGTTTTGTAAGCATTTTTGTGGTGGTGTGTGTTGGTTTGTAGCCGAATGTAGTAAGATTAATTTGAAGTTTCTGTACGATTTGGAGCAAAAGGGGAAAAGAGCTTTAATTGACTGGTGTGTAAATGAAGGTTTACTTAGTAGCCATTATAAGTGTACTGCATGTAGGAAGGATATGCGTCTAGTCGAATGTAAAAATCGTTTAGATGGATTTGAATGGGTTTGTAGGAAGAAAGGTTCAAATTGTCACTATGAAGCGTTCGATCAGAAAGAGTACTTGGTTTGAAAAAAGTCATTTGAGTATGATTGATATTTTGATTTTTACGTGGCTCTGGGTGTACGAAGCGAATTCGAAAATCATGGTAAGTGAATATTTGCTTTTGGTAGAGCTTAAATGTATAACATGTTTTTCCTCTTTTGTGTTTTATTATTTGGTTTAGAATGTATTTTATTGAGATTACATATTTTTTGTTTGCCTATTTTGTAGAATTTGGTGCTCCTTTGACTTTTTAAGTGAAAATATATCGATGTGTACATGGACAAAGTAAAGGGAGTGCGCAATGCCATTTTTGTGCAATTCGGGAATTTTTTTCAAGTGAAAATAGGTCGACCGTGTACATAGATAAAGTCAAAGGAGTGCACAATGCCATTTTTTTGCAATTCGGGGATTTTTTTAAATTGAAAATAAGTCAATGTGTACATAGATACCGAGTTTGTGCCATTGTTTGTCTGGTTATTTTGGCTTTGTGTAGCGGCGCAAAAATTGCCGCTTCACAAGCCAAAATAACGAGTCAAATAATTGCACAAAATCGGTATCCATGTACCGCCAAAAATTGCCAAGGGGTACCCTAAACTATACTTTTACCTCGCATAAATATTGGGAAAAACTTCTGGGGAAGGTACGGCACATCATAAGGATTAAGAATTGCACCCACGCCCAAAAATGTCATTGTACAATGCCAGGGGGAGTACAGGAGAGTGCTAGAGGAAAGTGAAGATTGCCTCATTCGAGCAGTAGGCAGCATGCAAAGAGCATGGAACGCGACACGAACGGAGAACTTGCAGACACACACTTAGTGAATGGAATAGCTGAGGATAATGGACAAACCACTGCACACATTTATCCAGAACGCTTCTGTGACAGACAACAACCACACCACAGTTTGTTTGCACGTCTGCATCAAAATTTGTGCGACTACGGGTTGTTGAGAAGTGGTAGGACATGAGAGGGCAAGCCACAATCAACTCGCTTGGTCATTAGTGTGTTGGCTACAGTGGAGAGTAATCCAAGGACCAGCATACAGGCCATTGCCTCTCAAGAACGTCTCATACCAGTGTCCAGTGTGTCTTGAGTCCTTCCACGCCTTTCGTCTCCAAAGGGTTCAGTTACTGCTCCCCGATGACCATCCTGAACATGTGTGTTTCGCAGTGGTTTCTGCAAGAAAGGGCCCCTATGTTAATTTCTCAGCTTACATGTTGTTCATGGATGAGGTCACGTGTAATAATGATGGCATATTCAATCACCACAATCAGCATTTGTGGGCTCAAGAAAACACCACAATGTGTGGCACCCTGCAGCATCACAATGCTTCAAAGTTATGTGTGAGTGGGTTTGATCAGCAAGTGCTTAGTCGGGTTACCTCTTACCATTCAGGTTGAATGTTATGAAATATATGATCTTGCTGGAGCAGGTTCTTCCTGGCTTGCTTGATGATGTTCCAACAAATGTGAGGTGCAATATGTGGTTCCAACATGATGGGGTGTCTGCTCATATCGAACTGGATGTTCGTAGCCATTTTAATAGATCATTCCTACATCAATGGATTGGGTGAGGTGAACCGGCTCCCTGCCCCCCCTCCACGCTCACCAGATTTATCGAGCTTTGATTTCGTTTTGTCGGGAGCCATCAAAAGTATTGTATATCACAATCCGGTTGTGTCTGAAATAGAATTTGTGCCAAGACTTGCCTGTGCAGCTGCTACAGTCAAAGAAACTCCTGGTATGTTTGAACATGTCCGGTAATCAATGGTCTATCGGTCTCGGGTATATTTGGCATCTGATGGTGCAAGTATCTGTTGTAACATTCAAGCTGCCGTACACCGTTTGTATTCATGTCCAAAAACTGTTTCAAATTAATCATTCTCTTGTTTCCTTTCTCATCTTCTACCTCAGCCACCACTTACCCCTGACATTTCCAGGCATGAGTTCCTATGCCATTCTTAATCCTTATGATGTGCCCTACTTCTTCCAGAAGTTTGTCGCAAGTTGTACGGGAAAACCTGTATATACACACAGATATATATATAATTACATGACAAATTATGCAACAGTCAAATGTTTTAATACTAACGAGCAGAATTTTACATACCGATGTCAATAAACTACCTTTGCAGAAAATTAAACATGCTCTCTTTAGTACACTATAAGTAATTTGTCAGGAAAAACTGAAAATCAACTATAGTTGTGAAGGATTGATATAGCTAGACAATGAAGTATTGTTGAACAGAGCACAGAATTTGCATTTTGCTTCAGGTTAATGATAAAAAATTTTCAAAGATAAGGAAGAGGATCTAAAATAAATACATATTAAGGAGATAAGGATAAATCCAAACCTACTACTGGCTGAATAGAAAAAGACTGCTTACTTTAATGGAGCATGTCGGCTGTTTCCTGTACAAAAGAACTGAGTTTCTAACTGTTCAATAAATTCTTAAAAAGAATAAAAATCTTAATTACAGTGAATGAAAATGGATTTGGAACAAATTATATGGAAATAATGACTAAGAATTATACAGCTTACTTGAAATACCCCAACCTCAAATTTTGAACAAATTTAGTTTGCACACATTTTAGATATTATTCTGAATATATTAGTTTGCACATGCATATATTTTAAAGAAATAAATATTCTGAATATATTAGTTCGCACATACATATATTTTAAAGAAATATCTTACTTTATAAGCCTGTCGCAGACCTCCGTTGTCTGCTATATTTTCGGCAAGTGTCCTTTTCCCATTTAACTGTGAGAAGAAATAAGTTTAAGAAATCAAAATAATACATAACTAAATTAGCAATCATGTATGAACAAAAATAAACACTTCGTAATCCCTCTTTTCCCCTAGCTGCTATTCCTTACACAATATTTACTTCCGTTGGCATAATAAAATGTCTCCTAAATCTTTAAAAGAGACAAATTGTAGCCAATCGTTTATCTATTATTACCTATAAGACGACGCGACGTTCATCGCACTTAAATTTTAAAAGTAACAGAGACTCGCAATAATCTAATCTAATCGGTATCTTTTACAAAATTGGCCTTGGCTACAAAGAGCCTTAATCCAATCGGTTTTGATCATGCCATTCGGCCAGTTGGTTAGAGAGAGTAGTAGTGCATACGCACCCGCACAGAGGCGAAAAATTTATAGGAGATAATCCTGCGATTATAGCTGTACATGTGATAAGCAATTTGGCATTAGCAATTATTACGGCAGTGGTCTCAGTTCTCGTGCAGTCAGGCGGCATGGCGGTCAGATCGGAAAGCAACCCTTCAACCTCGGCATCCACTCCCTGAATGAGAGAGGAGCACTTAGAATTCTAAGCAACAAGTGAAACCCACGTGATGTGGGTCAGCCAATCAGAGAAGAACTTAGTTCGCAAAGTTCTATTTGACCAGAGTGGTCACATGAATGATTCAATTGAATGGAAATTAAAATAATAGAAATAAACTTGAATAAATGAGATCTTGGATAAATGGAAAAGATATATACACTATTTACATATTTACAATCACCATCTAGGATTGTGATGTATTGTGCGCGGTCTTTTTTACCGTATGTTCAATAGTTGGATCATAATCAATGATGTTTTTTGATTGCTTGGTACTCGCTATTCCTAGCTTTCTCAAAGAAATTGTGAGATATGGTGAGGATGTGATCCATAAGATCAGGAATTTTGAGGTCTTTCTGGATATCTTTATTCCTGATAAACCAGGGAGCGTTTGTGATTGATCGTAATATTTTATTTTGTAAAATACCAATCTTTTTCCTTTCATTTTTATTGCCAATAGCCCAAGCAGGGGCGGCATATGTAAGGATCGGTCTAATGAGAGAAGTATAGAGAATCTTTTTTGTATGTAAGTTAAGTTTGGAGTTACGTCCAATAAGTGGATAGATAGCCATATAAGCAGAATTCCCTTTATTGGCAATGTATTGAAGGTGGGTTTTGAAGTTCAGCTGTTTATCGATATAGACACCCAGATATTTGTAAGCATCATTATGTGGGATAAGAGTGCTATTGATTTTAATTCGAATTGGGAGACAGGTGTCTTGTTTTGCATCTGCAAAGTTTTTCTGCACCGATGGGCGAAAAATCAAGCTTACGTGAGCAGGAAAGGTAAGGAATTTCGTACATTTTATAGGAGTTCGAAAGGCCAGGAAGAAAAGAAGGGACAAAATAAAATTTAAGAAGTGGCTCAAAGCTAATAGAGAAAAAAAGGGCATATAGAGAAAAAAAGGAAAAGAAGTAGAAAATTTCCTAAAATACGATTGTGTCCATCAGTTTAGTCAAAAGGGAGGAAGCTGTGCTCATTTACAATAAATCGAGTCTCTCTTACTGCCCTGAGCAAGGAGGTTAGAATAGAGTCGCTAAGGAGGCTATTCTAACCTACTTGGCCCTGAGCTAGCAAGTCACTTATCTTAGAGTGATCTTCTCAAATTCTCTTACATGGTCCCCGCATATCAACTCTATTGTTCAGAAGTTTCGGGTTCATAAAGCTAAACTCAACCTGAAACAGCATTCTATCTATAGATAATAAGTTTCTCGTTTATAAATCCATTTTACATTCCTTGCCCTGTTACGCGTCCAGTCTGGGAGTATTCATGTAAAACTCTACGTAAAAAATTGCAGAATGTTGTTCTGCGGCAAATTACAAACGCATCGTTATATATTAGAAACAATGCGATTCATGCGGAACTTGGCATAATTCTACTGAGAAGTTTTTACTACCAACTGGACAGACAGTTCGACATTCGTTTACGTAATATAAGTAACTCTGAACTCAGAATTTATAATTACGATTATAAGAATGATACTAATAAAAAAAAAGGCCAATGTCCATTCTCAATCCAAATGTATTCATGGAAGTCTGAATTTTTAGATTTCATGCTATTCGGTATTCTTTTGTTTTTATTTATGTGTATTTATATCTTGTGAGTATTGTATGTATTTGTTCACCACTTGAGCCCTATTGATTCAAAATTACCTTGATAACATAAATTCAAATAGACTGCTTTGAGGCTTGAATTTATAGCGCGTGAATCTCTTCAAAATTTAAATTTAAAAAAATTATATTTCAAATAAGTTCCTTTGTAAAATATTTTGAAACTTTCAACTATGTTCGATTTAGGGTAAAGCGTCAGCCTAGGCACTCAGGTGTATCAAACACCGTTCCACGGAGGAAAACCTAAGGCTCCTATAGCCTTAGGAAGAGGGGCCTTAGGAAAACCGTGTCTCCAGGTGTGTAGTGTGTGTGTTTAGTAAAGCTGAATAGATGTGATGATGAAAAAAAGAAAGATTGGGGGTCTAGTTACATAATAATTTAAGTCTACTTAAGAAGCTAACTTTAGCTAAGACAGGAAAGTAAAAATAAAAATAATAAATAATTTTTAAAAAAGTAAGTCCTGACATGGGAAATAAGGCAATATGTTTACCTTCACCTTGTGTCCCACCAACAAAAAGGCACATAACATCAGACAAAATTATATATTATTTCAACTAACGTAACATTGATTATTACCGTTCCCAACATATTCATACATTTTTCAGAAAACAGCATCAGACAAAATCATAAAACCATACACAGTGCGAGAGCATATCAGAAGAAATAAATAAATAAATTACAGAGCTTATTTTTATTTTAATATTAATGAAATTTTTCATTAATTAAACATAACATTTATTTATTAATTAAACATAACATTTATTTATTAATTTAACCATCATAACTTATTATACTAATATTAGTTTAACAAATTGAAGCATACTGTATTCATATTAGCTCATAATGCTATAAGATACATTCAAGGAAATATAGAATAATCCATATCTCTCCTTTGCTGAACTGAAAAAAGTTAGAGGTCGAAGTCGCAAATAGCGCAATCTAATACATTCGTGAATGCCAAAGGGACCCATTTTTCCTCTCAAGAAATTCCTTAAAGCAAGAAACAGTGGCTCCGAAGGGTAACCTCCCCCATATGCTACTCAAAACACTTTTTTCATGAATTTTTGTTCCAGCAATCTGCATATATACAAGCTTGCATATCTTCAAACACCAACTGCAATCAGGTAATTTTGGTTAATTCTGTCCCCATTTTTATTTCTTTCCACTTTTTAATCCACCTCTCCTCTCCAACTTTTAACGTTTTTCTTTACTTCCCTTCCCTTTAACTATCCTAAAACTTCTCCGTCTTTTCTACAGTTAACTTTTTCACGGTTCTTTCCGCTCCAAAAGTTGCTCCTATTGTACTCTCGCCACGGGCGGTAGGAGAACTTTTTCTACTCTTGAATCCTTTCCCCCCTTCTTTTCGTTCCACCATCCCTTGCTCTGCTTTAGTCGTAAGACTCTCTCCCCCCCAGCCCATCCCCAAGGCATTAGCGATTACTGCGGTTTTCCGTATTACCTAATATACCTTTCCCGAGCCCTGGAAAATTATGATTCCCGGCTAATTGTCTTTCAATCTTTGCGATTCCATTAATGCAATGCATTCAGGAATTCGCCTTTATCCGTCACCTCTCTCTCTTTCAACCTAGTAAAACAGGTTGAAAGCAGAAAGAATTTATCGTCCATAGAATGGACTCCTTATTCACTTCCTTCCCCGTAAGCCCATAATGGTCTCCTTCATTACCCTTCAGCCAGTGCTTTGTCTTAATCACCTCAGTTTTCCTTAACGAAGTTGTGGAGGTAATTGCATTAAGTTGCAAAGGTACTCCGGAAAATATCGCCTTGGGCCTTGGGCCGAAGGGTAACTGCTGATTGACGAGAGTGCTGGTAAGGGAAATAGCATCTGTACGGAATGGTTCCCAGACAAAAGGCCACTGGACGAAAGCGCACACGACAAAAGCCCACTATGATAATTGCCCAAGTGACAAATACCCACAGCGATGAAAGCGCACATTGATGAAAGCCCATACTGATAAAAGCCCACGTTGATAAAAGCCCACGTTGATAAAAGCCCACATAGATATAAGCCCACGCTGATAAAAGCCCACACTGATTAAAAGCGCACATAATCAAAAGGGACTTATGCTTTTTTATACTAAACCGTGTATATAATTTTAATTTTAATAAAGGGAGTATTAGATCTGAATTTAATGTCAAATATATGTTTGTATATTTTATCACTACTTTATTATTTAATTATTAGATTGAAAGCAAACTTTCTACTCTCTGATAAGTGAGTAGCTGTAACGTTCGATGATAAATCTTAACTTGCATGTATTTATTACTTATTTAACTTTGGTATGGTGTGAAAATGAAAATATCATGTGGAGTTTCTCATATGTTATTTAAGGTAATATGGCTGAGATTAAATATAATTAGTTCATTATTAAACTATCTAACTTTTAATTAAAAATTTATTTTATTAAAAACATTTTTTATGTTTATTTAAAAATACTAATTTAACTTAATTATTTATTCTTTTAGTTTTCCTTTAGTTCTTTTAGTTAAGAATATTAAAACAGTAAGTACAATGAAACTTGGCTAGAGATATTTTATTCTTACTTTAGACTGAGATTATTAAAGTTTAAAAATCTCACTGAAAGCTGTTCTGAATGTAACAGTAGAATTTGGCGATTTTAGACATATTTTCTTTTAATTTCTAATAAATTAAAACTGTCAGCTGAACCCTGTCAGAAAAGAATTCCAAATGTAACCTTTTAATCTTTCAACTACAGCAATTGGAACAGTGTTTTTTTTTCATTTTATGATTTATTTATTTGGGGGGAGGATGGAACAACTGTTAGAAATCGACATATCTACGAATTTAAGTACAATCACCTCCAACTAATAAACAGAATAAGTGCGAACGGCAGCGGACAAACGAGACTATTTCGGCATGAAAAGAGGACGGACGAAATGGCATAGCCAGGGAAGACAGCCTTCATGGAGGACGTTAAAGGATACTCGCTCGTATACATGTTAGCAGGGGAAAACCACGAAGTGCCTGAGTCAGCCTTCCATCGGAATTCGAACCCGGCCCGAACTACAGATTCAGTGCTTTTCCGCTGCCTGGTGCTTGTGCTACATGAAAGCTAGAATGGATGATGACGCTTTCTTAATGTCAGCTTTTATTCATTTTATATTTTTATTAAATAATATGATTTTTCGCTATTGACTTTTCTCACATTATTTCAAAGAAAATGTCTAGAAAGTTTTGAGAATCGAAATAAATGATTAAGTCTAGCTGAGATACGTTTACCATCAAAAAAGTGTTTTCACGTTTAGAATGTAATTATTATGCATACTGCATCTCACCAAAGTTCACGATTTTTT